AATAAAGATCTATAACAGGAGAACGAACTAACCTGAGGCAGCGATCGGGAGAGAGGAGCGAAAAGGCGCTTCTCAGAGCTGAAAATGAGAGGAAGAAGAAGAAGAAGAAGAACTCCAAAGACTCATACGGTTCACTAATTAGAATTAACAATTCTCCCGCGTTCAACGTGATTACTACTTTGGTCTTTAAAAATGTTTTTTTTTTAAGAGAATATACAATTTTCCCTCGAGTATAATGTTTTTAGGAAATTGTTCAGTTTGATCGTAAACAGAATTTCATAGTATTTTTTTCTATTTATTACGGTAATAAAATTCTATTTAATTCTAGATAATAAAAAATTGCTGTAACTCTTTTATTTTTAATAAGTTAAATTACTACAATAATTTTAACTAATTTTCTCATTTATATAGTATATTTTTTAGTTTATTTTGTAATAAATTTTATAATTATTCTAAAATAAATATTAGTAAATATTTAGTGTAACTTATATTTCAAAAATCAAGCATATAGTAGAGTAAATTATATTAAATAAGATAAGTATATTATAAAGTTGTATGAACTTTTTTTATTTAACTTTTATTCATTGATATACTTGTGATATAAATAATAGGCATTTTAAACTTTTTAAGTTTATTTAGTCGTCATTATTAATTATTATTTTTACGTAAATAATTAGAAAAATCATTTATAAATGTCATATCTAAAAATTAAATATTAATTTGTTTATTTCACTCCTTTTAACCATTTGAAAAAGATTAGCAGATAAAAATAATTTTTATCAATAAAAAATCAAACAAAAGAATAAATAGCTAAAAGGAAATCTCAAAACCACGCACAAAACACACATAATTACAAAAAGAAAATGAGTTAGAAGAACTAATAAAAAAACAATAATAACATAAATAATACAAAAAACTAAAAAAAAATATATATTTGAAAAAAAAAACAAAGATAATAAAAGAATTAAAAAAGGAACGAAAAATCGAAAATAATAAATGATTTGAGAATAAATAATACAAAATAGATTTCATAATCACATCAACACTTCCCTACCTATTTAGTAGAGATATTCATGAATCAAATTGAATGCTCTCTTGAACCTAAATTAAAACCACACAATTTAAAATCTAAAAGGGACGTATAGTCTAAATCTCTCAAATTGAATGCTCTCTTGAACCTAAATTAAAACCACACAATTTAAAATCTAAAAGGGACGTATAGTCTAAATCTCAAGATCGGTCTAAATCTCAAGATCGATCTAAATCTCAAGATCAGTCTAAATCTCAAGATCGAATACACGTAAGATTCGACCCACATCAACTAAATAGGTTGACTTTACCCTCCTTAGTTTTATTAATGTGATTAGTGAAATTTTATTTAATTAATCCATTACATAAATAATTAGTATTTATATATTGGTGTGGCAGATTTTTCGGGCATTAGATTGCATTTCATTGCATTTATTTCTTGTTTTCTTTAGGGAAAAGTCTCATTTGGGTGACAAGATTTGCTTTCTACAGATATCATCGCTACAACGTTGACAATAGCAGGCAATATTTTTGCATTCCTGCTTCTATATTGAGTTGATCAATCCATAACAGATGCATAGACATAGACATGATCCAAACATTTCCTTTCTGCTATATAAATACTCACTCTAATAGAGTGTAACATCCAACACACTCAAATGTTTAGTTTTTGTTACCTTTTATGTGGGTCTCCTTTCACAAGAAAGTATGCATGAGTCTTTCTGTCGTTTATTCATACCTGATCAACATCGAATACTCTTAGTTTTATCCCACAGTTAGATCGGCTTGATAGTCGAGCTCATGCGTCCCCCCATCTCGGCTTTAGCAGCACTTGACCTCCTCGTGGCCGAATGCTAAGGACCCAATAGGTTCCTTAAATGGCGTGGCCAAATGGCATCGACTGAATGAACCCATAAATATTCGATCCAAATAGATTCTATCCACTAACCTCCCTCTTACCCTATTGATTGCTCTACCATCATTGAGCTAAGGGTCATTTCCATGGATTCTTCCCCACTAACAAGGGCCATCACATGGATATGTTTCTCTAAATGATTTTCATTGTCTTAAAAGAATATGACATTTAAACTCTTTGAAGCTCATTATCAGCAGCATATGCTCGTTTATCAACCAAAATCGACACCAACACCAACACCTGAAAATCAACATAAATAGAGACACAGGTACGGAGTGTCTTGTTGGCACACGACAATCTGAAAACAGAGGACTAATATAAATGGAAAAAAGACAGACAAAACTCACATATGAACAAACGACAAAGACGAAACCTGAACTTGAATAATATTTCATTTCTAATATCCGAGAAGACATTACCATAAATGCAAAAAATGTAGGACATACATTATCTTACAGCCGGTCACTAAGCAAAATTCCAAAAACACGAACAGACTTCCATTCTATTGCAGTAGCTCATTAGTATAGATACCGTCATCCTCTGAAAAACCAGGGCAAACTAAAACACAGCCAGCCACAATGTATTCTGTTGCAAGTTGCATAACAGTAATGATCATCGTACCATTGCAAAAATCCAGTACTGTTACACCAAAATAGAACACGCGAAACAATTGCAGCGTGGAAGTGGAATACAGAGAACAGGAGTTCGTAACAAAAGGGAAGACGGCTTAAAATTTCGAGATGATGTGCTAAAATTAAGCAAGAATATAAAAATTTAAGTTACCCACACGGTCAGATTACTCTTGGGACGACACAGCACTTTTGACAAAAATCAGCAGATCCAACAGCTCATCCATGGCGAAGTTCATACCATCCTTCGATCCTCGACCCGATCCAAATTAGTTTCCTTTATGCATGTTCCATTTCTATATGTGTTTTACAATGTGACGATAATAAAATGTTATCATATACAGACTTAGACCGACCATCATACGACGCACATAAAAAGAAGCCTCAACCCAGGGTACTCTGTCATTCTTTGAATAAAATGAACACAGAACTTGAATGGGAAATCAAAATAACTTGTATTATTTTAGTCCAGACTAACAAATAAATTATTAATTTTTCATGATCGAGCTTCCCGAGAGGAGAGGACGACTAATACAAAGCTATGAAATCGGTATCTTCCAAGCGGTGTGCGAATGATAATTCTACTAAGAGATTAAAAAAGATAGTAGTTGGCATGACAAATCTCGGTCAAATTACCCTTAAAGCTAAATAACCAAATGAAACTTTACTGTAAAGCTGTATAAATATTAGCGAAGGGATCCTATTAAGCAAATTAAGATTATATACCGGCTAGATTAATGAAGATTAGTCTTAGCTCACGTATTACTCTTACCAACGCGGTTGCTTTAACCTTCCTCCTACGTTTATCTACGAATTGATTGAGATCAAAGAAATTGTTAATACCTTTCGGACCTTCGAAAGGAGCACGGTTGAGCGAGAGCGATCGAGTAATCCCAAAGGATGCAAGCAGTTGACGGCAGCTACGCATAATAAGGATAGAAATAAAGAGAAAGGGAATCGGAACACACCAGAGAGGAGGGATCCCGGGCAATTCCCGTGCGATCCCTCCTCTAAACCCAAAAATCTTTTTTTCCATTAATGTAGTTGACCTGCCATGCAAGCGCACCTGTCATGGCAAAGGTCGGATGACAAAGATCGACCAGAAACCGCCTCCCTATCAATATAGGGAGGTTTCGTCCTGATATCTTATACATCCATGACACACTAATCAAATCAACCTTCCTTGGATGCAGCTGCCGAACATCTCCCAGCGTTGGAGCGAACCCGACGGATCGTTCTCTCCTCGCCTTAACATAGAAGCTCTACAGCCGTCGAGAATTAGGAATCCATTCCGATTGGGAACATCAACGCAGAAGGCCTAGAACATCCGGTGAGAATGCTTTAGTTACAGAAGACGTTATTCAACGCCGCAAAAACCGGTCCCGATCACTGTAAACACAGATTCCAATCAGAACGAACGGCGACTGGAATTGTACAAGACACGAACCTGAATTTGGATTTCCGCGTAAAGAAAGCGCCGTTAGCAACCGGAATTTCCGATACGCATCCGACATACCGCCACGATGGAAAAAATCCCCAAATAAAGCACAGCAAGAAGACCTAAAACGAGGACCGGTGAAGGGAAAGCAGAAATGGGATGAGAACGGCGGGAAGGAGCCCTAATGTATTATATATGTGGACCAAGTGAAATGCACCGCGTGGATTGAGCGATGCTGGTACAGATCAACGGCTGAAAATTCGTAACGTGGAATAATAAAAGTCCCGGGGCGGTAGAGGCAAGTTAAAACGGGGATGCGTTCGTTGACAATTGATCATCAATAGCGTTGTTCCCAAGCGACCTTATGCTCGCCACGTCAGCGATTATCCAAAATCGTTTTTCCTCGAATTAAATATTCGGAGATGTACGGCTTAGAACAAAGACGTTACGCATCTTTAAAATAATCGGCCTGGTGTGTACATCGAGCCCCAAGGCCGACCCGACCCGACCCGAATCAGAGTTGAGTTAAATTAGCATAAGAATCCGAATATATTCATTCGTTTTGGGTTCCGCATCTTCAAAATAATCGGCGGCTCGACCGACCCGACCCAACCCGAATTATAGAAATTGGGTTAAGTTAAATTAGCATTAGAATCCGAATATATTAGTTTTGGGTTGGACAAAACTCTAGAGATTGGGAGATTGGGTTAAGTTAAATTAGCATTAAAATCCGAATATATTAGTTCTGGGTTGGACAAAACTCAGTGTAAATACTAACTTTTGAATTGGTACAACAAAGATGGGTTTTTGAATTAGTACAACAAAGATGGGTTTTTGAATTAGTACAACAAAGATGGCCGACTCTAACCCAACCTGAACCATATACACCTCTCCTAGCGAGTGACTCGTGCAACTTCTTCTAGGGATAGGTGGTGGCGATGACGACGGTAACATTCCGGTGGTGGCGCACGATGTGTGGTCCAACCCCTTATCATCACACCCAATATTCTTCTAATTAATTTACAAAATGCAAATTTAGATTTTATACAAACTAACTTCTCATGACAACAACGTGACAAAGAAAAACATCAGACACAATACAAACGAGTATGAGACAAGATCATTGTTCTTAGCAGTTGGAGTGAGTTTGATGTCGAGCCTTCTCCTTCTCCTTCACCTCGCTCCCTTGGCTTTTATCGTATTCTTCAAAACATAATTCAAACAAAACAGTTATTAAACCACTAATCATCATCATCATTTAATTAAGGAAAAATGCATAAGAATTTAATTACCACGTTTCTTTTCATTCTCAGCCCCCTCCTCGGTTGACTTAATCCATCTATAAATCCCTCCAAATCCTTCATACTCGCTTCGGCACGCGTACGCTAGCCCGAACGAATCAGTCATTATATCTCTGATTTTACACACATTTTAACAAAATTAACCTTTTAAAACGGCCCCATAAACTGACCCATGCAACCAGAGACGAGAAAGATCTAACCCACTCTGCTTGTCGGTGTTCTTAGAGTCATCCATGTTCTCTTGGTTCTGATCAGGTGCGGTGGAGAAACCGATCAGTTGACGGGATCGGAGCTCAGGCGAGTCTATACGGCGGAGCCGCGGTGGAAGAGGTAAAGTGAGCACGATCGGCGGTGGAACGCGGCCGAATCTGATTGAATTTATCATATTTGCTTCTGAAGATAAGTGGAAGAATAGGTGGAAATCTTCCCCAACTTGATGAACGCTACACTTGGAAAATTTTCACGTTGTAAATGTGACACGTGGAGTAAGTATGACACGTGTGTGACTTTCACACAGTTGAAATCTTGCGTGGCGTTGACGTACCCAAACTTTCTTGCACTGTAGTTTAAACATGACACGTAGTCCTGCGTGGCGATATCCCATGAATGTTCATTGTTTAATGATAGATAAAATGTAAAAAAAAATTAATATATAAACAAAAATAATAATTCGACCTGCCACGCTACCGTCCTCATCTGGGTGAGGTTTTTTTTTATTAATTTGTGTTCATTATTTGTTTTTAAAGAGATTCAAACATACATCTAGAATATGGAGCCATTTCTCTAATTTTTTATTCAAGAAAAATAAATCCGACCGTTTTCAAACCAGCCACCTAAACGACCTTATGCTTGCCACATCATCAACGATTATCCAATTTCGTTCCTCCTCGAATTAAATATTCGGATATGTACGGCTTATAACAAAGATGTTATGGGTTGAGTTGATGGGCAACAGCCCAAACAAGGAACGTACATCGGACCAAACTGGATTGAGTTGATTAACATACCGAATCGGGTTTATATTGAACCCGGAATATATTCGAATCGGGTTAAATTACCTTCCGAACCCCGTATATGTTCGAATTGGTCCTAAAAGTACCCTTAGGACAACCCAAGAAAGTACCCTTAGGACAACCCAATCCATGTACACCCCTAAGCTAAAATCCGACCCGAACCCTTACAGGAATAAGGGGCGATAACAGTGGTATTTTTGTGACTAGTGATGAGCAGATTATTTCGAAATGAGAACATAAATTGTTAGAGCAAAGAACAAACAATTCTTTTATTAATTAATTCTAAGCATGGTGACTAATGTATAGTCTTTACAAAAAGATAAAAACCACAACGATAAATGCATATACTTAACAAAAAGATAGAGACCACAACGATTAAGTCGTTGAACATACAAATATCTAAAAAAGTATTAGCAGAAGTCCCAGAAGAATAGAACTCCATAAAGACTAAAACTTTATTTGAAAAAGAAGTTGACTAGACCAGTAATTCCTAACAGGTGATCCATCTCGTCGGAGATGGAAGGAAGAACGAAGAAAGCAAGAAATAAGGTAATCGTTGGTCCAACCCCTTATCATCACATCCAGTATTGTTTCAATTAATTTACAAAATGCAAATTTAGATTTTATACAAACTAACTTCTCACGACATCATGACAACGAAAAACATCAGACATAATGCAAACGAGTATCAGACAACATCATTGCTCTTAGCAGTTGGATTGAGTTTGATGTCCAGCCTTCTCCTTCTCCTTCACTTCGCTCCCTTGGCTTTTATCATATTCTTCAAAACATAATTCAAACAACACAGTAATTAAACACACCAATCATCATCATAATTTAATTAAGGAAAATGCATAAGCGTTTAATTACCGGGTTTCTTTTCATTCTCAGCCCCCTCTTCCGTTGACTCGACGGATCTATAAATCCCTCCAAATCCTTCTTCCTCGCTTCGGCTCGCGTACGCGTGCCCAAACGAATCAGTCATTAGATCTCTGCTTTAACGACACATTTCAAAAAAATTAACCTTTTAACATACCCCATAAACTGGCCTATGCACACAGAAACGAGAAAGATCTAACTCAGTCTGCTTGGCGGTGCTCTTAGAGTCATCCATGTTCTGTGGGGTCTGATCAGGAGCGGTGGAAAAACCGATACGTTGACGGGATCTGAGCTCTGGCAAGTCTATACGACGGAGCTGCGGCGGAAGAGGTAATGTGAGCACGATCGGCGGTGGACTGCGGCCGAATCTGACTGCGTTTATCATATTTGCTTCTGAAGTTAAGTGGAAGAATCGTTTAATATAAAATTAGTCAGACAAAGATAGTAAGGTGGAAATCTTCCCCAACTTCAACGCTACACTGGGAAAATTGTCGCGTTCTAAGCGTGACACGTGGAGTAATTAAGACACGTGTATCACCTTCACACAATTGAAATATTTCGTGGCGTTGACATACCCAAACTTTCTTGCACTGTAGTTTAACATGACACGTAGTCTAAAATTTAATTTATAAACGAAAATGATAATTACAATAGAAAATAAAAATAAAATGATCCGACCTGCCGGATTCGAACCAGCGACCTAAGGATATCTGTGAATCCCACACTACAGTCCTCCGCTCTACCAACTGAGCTAAGGTCGGAGATGAGTAAAGTTTCTGATTAATATTTATACATTATTTTTTTTAAAGAGATACAAACATATTTGAATACGGAGATATTTCTCTTATTTAAGAAAAATAAATCCGACCTGCCGGATTCGAACCAGCGACCTAAGGATATCTGAGAATACCTCACTACAGTCCTCCGCTCTACCAACTGAGCTAAGGTCGGTTGTGTTTCCAATTGCTTAAAGTATTTTTATATTTTCAATTTCTAAACATTATTTATTCTTTAAAAAACCCGACCTTTTAATTTCACCGAATGTATTAGGCATTTTAATTACTTCATTTTGTTTCTAAAAAACAAAAGAATTTGTGTACATATCTTTTTAGATCAATTGATACCTTTTCTTAATTTGTTGAAGTAGAGTAGACAAGTGTACTTCCTAGAAAATTCATAACGAGGGTTCAACATATTTATATAAGTTTCAAATATAAAACATCTCGTACTTACAAATCACTCGTATGGAAACTCATGAAAATTTAAATTTGAACATAATTAAGAGTTGTTGTATCAAATAAAACTTCTTTAAAAAGAATAATAAGAATAAAAAATTGACAAAAGACGAACGAAAAATTGAGCATCAAAGACGAGCGAGACTAAGTGATTTGTGAAAGGTATGGGATATAAAACCGCATTGATGAGAGAGCTATCTCATCTTCAAGGGAAGCAATGAAGGAAACATTGGTGAAAACGTCAGAATCCAATGTCTGGTTCCTCTTTAAGATTGAAGGTTTAAATGTTCAAAATTATTGTCCAAAGAACATGTCTACATTATCTCTTTATTATCCCCAAAAATTAGATATGTTCGTTGTCGAAAAAGGACATCCCAGCAAAAATAATTGAGAAAAGGACCCATCTGAAAAGAACATAATTTAAAAAGGGTGGAGGCGGTTACTACCGGACAGTCGGTGCAAATGAAGACATAAACTGAGTAAAAGAAACACAGAACACAGATCACAGAAAGGGGTCCCACACTCCATGCACACTTCACTCCGACCACCACTCCGACCGACCAAACAAACCCAGTCAATCTCAAATTTCCATTTTGCAATTTCGATCAAGAACAACAACAATCCTTCAATTAATTTCTGAAACTCCCATGATTCTTGATATGATCGTCAATGGCGGTATGTGATTATTAAAATATCTTAAGATCATTTTTTTACAGCACGGAAAAATGAAATTACATTTTATAATATCATGTAATAAACGAATTACGGTACCTGTTGCTTTCAACGCCACGAAGAAACTGTAATGATCGGGACATCCTTCCATGCCAACGACAAGAACCCAGCTGAGGATTCCATCAGACAATACTCAGAGCTGTAATCGTACTTCCATAAAAGGATTTTAGCTTGGCTTCTCGCGTAATGACTCAGATTTACTGCTTCAAATCCGCTGTTTTCCATTAACATTTTCCACTCTTCTTTCTCTTCCATTCGTTCCGTTTTGCCTCCCGCCGCCGCCGCCGACGACGACTCCGGTCCCACCACGCCGACGATTCGCCGCCCGAGCACGAGCTTTTCCAGTTGCAGCCTCTCGTTTGAGTCGCGAGGTAATTTTGGGTCCAGTGATTCGAAAATGGCAGAGTAATATCTCAGTGCGTTAGTGAACCGGGTGAAGAACCCGACCCGGTTTAGACTGGCTTCGTATTCGCCGAGGGTCACGATTTTAGGGTTCAGCGATTTTGCCAGTTTCAAAACGTTGAGAACGGCGCGAGGAGTTTCGTCGAGGAGGTTGTATAATTGAAGCATGAAATTCACGGCCAGGGATTCCTCCGACTGGATTCGGAACGACGATTCGTTCAGTTCTTCGATTGGAGTCAGAATTGGGTCGAATTCGAAGTTTAGTTCCAGAAGCTTTGCGAACTCGGCAAGTCGGTTACCTGTTGCGAACAGCGCCGTCGCCGGACAGTTCCCGAGCATCGGAGCCGGAATGCCAGAGATCCGAATTCCTGTTGGTTTTCCGGTAGAGCGGGTTGCGAGAGCTTGAAGAAGAGCCGCCCATTGAACTCCCTGTGAAATCCCGAAGTCGATTATGTGAATCCTGCTTGCGTTCTCTGTAATCTCGAGTATGGCTTGATTCGCAGTCAAATGTGCGAATTTAGAATACGGGCAAGCGTCGTTCAGAGCTTTATAAGAGAGAGTGAAATCATCGGAAGTGGATTCGCAAGAAACCAAACAATTCTCCGATCGAAGCGACAATCTCCGGCACAGAGCTTCGAGAAAGTAAAAGGCGACTCTCTCCGTCGGATCTCCGTGCTCCGATGACGATTCCTTAAGCTGAATTAACATTTGCGCCGCTCGATCTGGCTCCGATTCGGAAAGTCGAGCACATTCAATTAGGGTTTTAAGTAGCGGCGGAGTCGATTCAGTCTCTGCAGAACTCGACGAACCGCCGTTATCTTCACTCTTGTGAACAATAAGGGGAGGGTTGGGAACTTGAGTGTCCTTGAGGACCGCCGGCGGAGTCGCCGACGTAAGTCCCGTCCACGAGACCACCGGCGGTTGAACGGCGGTTTGACTTTTGGGAGGGTCAGGGAAAATGACTCTGTTAAGATCAGAGGGTGAAGAACAGGGAATAGTTAGGCGACTGGGACAGGGGATAAAGGGATCGGCACCATAGAAAGCAAAATCCGAATTAGACTGCCACGCTTCGCAACCAGAAGGAAGATTAGAGCTCTCCGTTGAATCTCCACCGACTATTAGACTGTCCATCCACTCATCGGAGTCGAACTCTGCCGCAGCGCCGCCGTCGAAATCGGTAAATCTGAAAGCAGAAGAATGGTGCTCCAAATTGGGAAACTGAAAGCTCGTATCTCCACCGTCGACTACTCTCTGAACCTGAAACGGGTCGGGAAATCCAGCTCCAGAGAGCCCAAATCCCAAATCTGGCGCACCGGACAGAGAATGGTTCGAGGCAGTCCATGGGTTGAGACCGAAAGTACAGGGTCCAGTGAGCTGCTGAGGCGACTGCTGTGGGTGCTGCTGCTGTTGCTGCTCTTGTAGCTGCTTCTGCTTCATGACTTGCTGAGCAATCGCCATAAGATTGCCGCTATCGGCACACATATTCGCCATTTTCCGGCCAAAACAAGAATCTACAGTCACACCATTTCAAACATGCAAGCAAAAAAGAAGAAGAAGAACAACAACAAAAGTCAGCGACAGCGACTCAAAACCAGTTAAAATAAGCCCCGGAAAAGACAGTAGGTAAAGGAATGCATACAGAAAGGAAAGCCGGCGGAAGTGAAGAGATCACGGCGGCGAGGTCGTCGGTGAGGCTGTTTATGCAGAGAGAAGAGAGTGAGAAAGTGAGGGAGAGAGGTCAGAGAGAGATAAAAAAGAAAAGTTTCCTCCGGAGAATGGTGGGCCCACGTTGGGAAGAGAAGAGGAGAAAAGAAATGAACATTTAAGGGAAATAGTGAGCAGAGTTGAATAGGGAGGACGTGGCAGGTGAGGCCCAGTGGGGATCTGACGAGACCGAATGATGTGTATCTACGTGGAGAGGGAGGTGGAGTGGCTCCCGCTCAATGCGGGGAAACTGACAAGAACAAGTGGGGACCAGACACCCAAGTTCAGAGTGACACGTTAATTTAAGAGTAACCTCGAGAGCGCCGTCGGATGACGTGGGAGATGGTAAGGTGGTCGGAAGATCCTGTCCGTCCAAATTTGAAAGAGTGGCGGAGAAGCGCGGATTTGCTTGTATAGAAGAGAGATGGAGATTGGGGATTGCAGGGCCGTGTTTGTCAGTTAAATTCACTCAAAACTCCCCGTTTCACGTGAACCCCTTCTACAACGTCACCCTCCACGTTATAAATAAATAAACAAATATATATATATAACCAAGTTAACGACCAATCTAAATCTAATAATTTATTTCGTATATTTTATTTATTTAATTATTTAATTGCGAGGGTAGGCATACTTTATTAGGTTGGGGGTGAGGGGGATTAGGGGTAAAGGCTAGGGTAAAAAAAGAGAGTGGAAAGGTAAAAAGAAAAATGAGAAGAAAAAAGAGGCAAAGTGAATGCTTTATTAAAAACAAGAACCATGTTCCTTTTGAACCGTTGATGACCTCGCTTTCACTACCCACTTTGCCTTTCAAGTTCAAATTTAAGTCTTTTGAAGGACCAAAAAAGCTCAACGGACCACTCATCCTTCAACAACGTTGCAACCAATTACTCCAACTAAAGTTTTTTTTTACCGTTCATCGAGGGATTCGGTCCTATTAATGAACAACATCATGATCAGTGCAACTAAGGGAATAACTACTTGTTTATGATACCTTGACACCCGAGACACTAGAAGCTACAAATGTGCATTCACCAAACAAGAAAAATTAGTAAACCACTACAAACAAATATCGGTAACTCGAACGTAGCCAAGACAGCTCAATCAATTCTTAAAATTTTAGTGTTGGGTTTAGAGCAGTGAGAATCCCAAAGAAGGAAAGAAAGAAAGCAGCCTTACAAATTGGTGACATTGTACACATTAGTGGTGTCAATGTCAACCTAAGTCATCAGCTTGCGCCTTGCTGTTTTGTTCTTTTTAGTCAACTCTCCATGTCTTCATCAACGGCCCATGTTTCTCAGTTCCTTGCATTTGCTGTTAAATCCCAGCCCTCCATTCAATCAACTCCCTTTGCTTGCCATTGGTTTTATTATTGTTATTATTTTATTCCCTTTTTATAACCCTTTCTTTATTTTGGGTGATTTTGTACACTTTTTATAAATAAAGTTGCAGAGTTAAAAGAGAATTAAATTCTGTCAGCCTCACCAATTTGGTAATTTAAATCGATAGTTCACTGACACCATATGTTATATTTTAATTAACAATATATTGCCAATCAAAAATAAAACAAAAACATGTACATGAGTTTAAAAGAGCATTAATTATTGAGTTTATTAAATATTAAAAATTTATAATTTAATCCAAATGAAACCAATCAAATCCCACCGTTAAAAGGGTTTAATATAGATGATTAGACTAAACACCAATATAATCAAAGCAATCAAATGGAGAAGAGGCTGTAGGCCCCACTCTGCCACTTCTTCCTCTCAAACTTCGTAATTTATTTATTTATTTATTTATTCATATATATATATTATATAAATTAAAAAAACATTACAATTAGGTGACGATGTGAATCTTTGACCTACATTGTATAGGTTGTTATTATCATAAGCAAGTTAAGCTCGGTTAGAGTTTGTTCATTTTCATTAAATAATTTATCGAGATAAACAATTAATTTTGATAATAAACTTGTTCGGTTATAAATTTATTATTCCACCTAAATTTTTAATATTGGGGGAGATCAAAATTTTAATTTTAGAAAACACTCTAACATTTTATAAATAAGCTTAAAATAGCATTAAAATCTAAATAAATCTAAATAATTAATATTTTTGTAATAATTACTTGCTTAAATACCATATAATAAACAGGTGGATGAATTTGTTAAAGAAATATATAATTTTATTTCCACCCTTATAAGCATAATTAATTTTTTGGAGTATTAACAAAAAAAAAAAAATAGTAATATTTAAAGATAAGTTCTCGAATTAATTTGGTTCAAATTTATGTGTTTTTATGAAATTATACTCTAATTAATTTGTGTAAAATTGAATATTATTGCATTGTATTTTATTAAATTTAAATGTATGGTAAAAAAATTACAATAGTTAATTAAAATTTAGGTTATAATTTGAGTTAAATTTGATAATATAAAAATGTTGTAACATTGTTGGTGGAAAAAAAAAAGAAAAAAGAAAAAAGAAAAAAGCAAAAAATGAAATGACCAAATTGGGGACGACATATATGTAACGCAGTGTACGGATTGCGTGTCCCAGGATGGCGATGTTTGTGGTTTGTGTCGAGGTGAAAAGGACAGGACTGTAATTGGATTTTGCTTTTTTTTTTTTTTTTTTTTTTTTTTTTTTTTTTTTTTTTTTTTTTTTT